TTGGTGCTTACAGGAGGATTAACATTCAGAAACTTATTCTTTCCCTTCAAACTCCACTGCCATCAGTCATCAGGCCAGACGACAACAAGCCAAATAATAATATTCAAATAGCTTCCCACAAAACAAGAAATGGGAAGCAATACGGAGAAATACAATACATTAGTAGCAATGTTAAACTCCTTGCTGGTCTGTGACTGAGCCATGATGGTATTAGGATGCTCTGCCTCCTAATGCATGATGATGAAGGCAGGAGGTCTCTCCACAATTAAACTAAAGTTACAACAGATTTTGCAGCAGTAGTCTGTACATAGACTAATGAGCCATAAAGCAGTTTTATGCAGAGAAAAATACTCACAATGTACTCCCTGATGAGACTGTGTCCTTTGTCAGGAGCGGTCCAGGAAACCTGCACCTTCCCATCCTCACTGTTGTCACAGGACAGCTGCAGGTTCCTCGGCGGGTCCGGCACTATAGCACACACAAATATACACAACTTCAAAAAGTATTCAGACCCCTTCACTTTTTACACATTTTATTGTGTTGTACATTTTTTAAAACCATTGTCCATAAATCCACAAAGTAAAACATTCTCAGAAAAGTTTGCAAATATATTAAAAATCAAAAACTGATATCTCTCATTTACAAGTATCCAGATCATTTGCTGTGACACACTGTGAAATGTGCTCAGGTGCATTTGCTCTAATTATCATTGAGATGTGTCTGGAAGTTAACTGGAGTCTGTATGTGCTTACTCTCCACTTATAGACAAACATTATGATACTGACATCCATTTTAGATACAATACAACACAGCAACTCTACATAGTGATTCTGCATGTCTCTATACAACCTACTATTTGGCATCAGAGAAGACAGCATAAATTAGAGCAATTACAGTATTTCTTTTGGTTAAATCTTGTTAGCTACATTTAATATTCATAAATTCAAATGTGCAGATAAAAAGCCTAACTTCTTGGTATTCACAGGAGAGGTTAAAAAATACACAGTTTTTTAAATAAACCCAGAAACTGTAAAAATTAGAGAGACTACAAATAGAATAGACTTCAAAAGATTCAATGGAATTCTGTAAACCTGGCATTGTGTCTGTTGTGTGGTGTAAAGAAATTGGACTTATTTCAATGAAAGAAGGGAAAAACTGACCATGCTCTTGTAGTTTTAGAAAAAAACATGTTAAAAGACCTGAGAGCAAATGACGGTAACTTGAACAGTGAAACCAGGTGATCGGTCGAGACAGACAAGGCACATTTTTTCACATTTCATTCTGTATAATGAGGATGAAGAAGGCAGCTACTGTATGTGAAATGATAAGGTTGTATGGATGTGCCACAAAGGCCTGTCAGTCAGGACACCACTACCACACACAAACAAAATATATGGAAAAGAAGCCTGAGCAAGACTTGTCAGCAATCAAATCATCAACTCAATAAACAATAATCAGATCTGTCATCAATTACTAGTCACAAAGTGGCTATTTACCATAAACTCTGT